CTGATCCCGTGATCCCGGCCCACCTGCGTGGTCCGCACGATGACGCGGTAGCTGTGCAGGGTGCCGCCTCCGCTGCCCTCCTTCTCCTCCCGCCGCAGGCTCACTGCCACCGGGCCCAGCACCTCGTCCAGCCCGAAGAAGTTCTGGTGTTCTGGGGGGCCGGGAATGACTGGTCACGCCCCCCGGCAGCCCCGCTCGGCCACGCCCACCACGAGGTCCCTCCCTGGAGTCCATCTCACCACAAAACGCAGACCCCAGATTAGGTCCCGCCCTTTCTGGGGCCCGCCCACATCACACCTCGCCCCTGACCAGGAACCAGAACCAGACCCTGACACAGACCCGGTGGCCAGACCTAAACCCTGCTGTGGGCCTGCCGCCACGCCCACATTCTGCGGACCAGAACCCTCTCTCCGGCAGCCCTGGTGAGAATGAGGTTCACGGGTCCGGGGCGTTCAGGCCTGAGCTTCCGCCTCAGAAATGCAAATGGGAAATCCATCCCCAGCCTGGTGGGTTTTGTGGCTGAATCAGATACAGGCAGAGGGGTATGCCCCGGCTAGGGCAAAGGACCAGGGCTTGGCCTTAAGGAGGCGGGTGGCTAAAGGTAGACCAACAAGACCCCAGCTTAGCTCTCGATCCTTCCTACGACCAGGGACTTGACAGGAAAAGGACGCTTCATAAGCTCTACTGTGTGCCCTGAAGGTGACGGGACTCTGTCCGAGAGTCCCCCACACCCCACCGTCCTGCCCACCCTCCCACCTCCCTTCCCTCACCTTTGCCATAGAAGTACTTGCGGTAGTAGCCGGCACCCAGGTCTGCATGCTCCAGGCTGTAGGCCGAGGTTCGGTTCTGTGGCTCCTCCAGGATGGACACGGCCGCATTGGGCAGAGCAGGGGGCACAGGCGGGAGTGCTGGTCCACCCAGGCCTAGCTCACCTTCACCCCCGAGCTCGCGCACAAAGCCAGGCGCCCCAAGCAGCAGGTCTGAGCTGGTGGCCTGGTCCTCGGCTGAAGCCCAGTTCCCAGAGCTGGCCTCTGCGTGGCCGCCGGTCCCCCGTGGCCTTGGAGCCCAATCAAAGAGCAGGCTCTGCACGTCATAGTGGGCAAACCATCGGGGCTCCAGCACCGGCGGGAAGGCGGGCTCGGGTTCCTCCGCTGGCAGTCCCAGCAGTGCCAGCGGGTCGGTGAAGATCCGGGGGGAAGCTGCAGCAGGGCGGCTGGCCTCCTCGTGGCTGTGGGCGCGGGCACGGGGGCTAGCTGGCGTGGGGGGCCTGGCCTCGCCTGCATCGCTGCCGCTGCGCAGAAGCGGGCCCCGGGCCGGCCTGGGCTCAAAGGTGTGTGGGGTCAGCGGGGGCCGTGCCGGCTGGCGCAGCTTGCGAGCAAAGAAGTCATCCGTGGGCGCGGGGGCCGAGCCCCGCCGGGGACACCCCACCCCGCCGGCCCACATGGGCGTGCTCTGTGGGCCTGACTCTCCAGGGGCCGGGCCGCATTGGCAGGCACGGGTGTCTGGTGCCCAGCCGGCAGGCCGAGGTGGCGGCAGCAGTCTCTGCCCTGAAGGAGGAGGGGGCTGCTCAGAGGGGCCTGGGGAGAAAACAGGAACCCGGGCCCCCAGCCTGGTCCTCCACCAGCCGGGCTGGCTTCCGGCCCCCTCCGAGACCATCAAAGCTGCTTCCGCTTTCCTGGCCACTTCCTCGTCTGCCTAGGGCTGAGGTTTCCAGCCCCTTCCCCGGCTTAGATGGTCAGGGCCAGGGCCTGGGCTGTTAGGTCTCAGCCCTTAGGGTCCCCATGCCTGGGCAAAGCCCTGAGGCTGCCAGAGTCCCCCAGTGGCCACCCACACACCCTGGCTTTGGCCTGACCCAGAGTAAGGGTCCCACCAAAGCCTGGCCCCACTGGACAGACAACTTGTCTCCGCAGGGACGGGAAACCCATGGGGCCACTGGTGTCTGGGTCCTGCCCACTTCACAAAGGGAGGACGTCCTGTCCCCAGAGACCTTCCTCTCAGCCCCTCCCGCTTCCTCCAGGGTCCCTGGGGAGGTGAGCACCCACAGAGGCCTGACCCCAATGCCCTGACCCCCACAGCCTCAATACCTCAAGGGCACCTGGGCTCTCGGGGGCGGTGGCAGGACAGCAGGAATGGCAAGAGGACTTCCCTCGGCATAGGAAGTGGCCCAACTCTGGGCCCAGCCCCCTGCCAGGCCCACACATCCTGAGGAAGGCGCTGGGGTCACACCAGCTCAGTCATGGGACCCAAGTCACCTTGGCCTGAAGGACAGGCCCGGGCCCATCCTCTTGCAGCTACTGGGCTTGTGCCTGGGGGCAAGACAGGGAGTCACACTGACCAGGCCCTTTTGTGAGAACGGGGTCCCATCGGGACCTCTGCGTACCTCGTCTCACTGCTGCAGACACGAAGGTCTGCACCCCATGTGACAAGGTCAAACTGAGGTCCAGTGAGGGGATGCTCTTGCCTGAAGCAATTCTGCATCAGAGCTAGGACTTGACCCTGGATCTGCCAATCTCCAGGGCCTAAGCAGAGCTGCTGCGCCTGCTCGCCGCTGTCGGTGAGCGTAGGTGTGGGTTGGGTGAGGGGCTGGGCTGAGGCTCAAGTTCTCACAGGATGTAAGACTGAGACACCGAGGCCCCAGGGGCCTGCTAAGTGTGGAAATGTGACGAGGCCAGAGGCAGGTGCAAAAGGTGGTGTGATTTGCCGGGGAAGCACGCCCAGGTGAACCTTGGATGGGGTAGGTGGCGAGGACAGGGACCTGGAGACCCGCCACTGAGAGGGCAAGCATCTGATGATGGGCCTTTGTGCATCTCCCAGTGACATCTGGGGGGTGGGCTGGGCCAGGGGCTCCATGCATCCCCCGCCTGGCAAGGGCAGGCCTCCACAGCCCAGGGTGACTCCTGCCCTGGTTTCTCCTAGGACACCGTCTGATGCCAACCGTTGGAGCCTCTGTGTTCTCACCTCTGAAATGGGGTTAACTATTTCTGCCCCCTCCCAGGACTGCTGGGAGATTGAAGGCGGAGGCGAGGCTGGTGAAGCCAGCCATCTGTGTGTGTGGCAGATGCAGGCCCTGGCACCATGCGCCAAGCTCTGGGCACATGCAGGCCTGGGCCCGGCCTGTGGTGGTGCAGGAGTGGGAGAGGGCATGGGGGGGGTATCGCAGGCTGTGCTCCAGGGGAGCTGATGGGAGTTCTGCATGTGTGCCTGCCGGCTCGTGGGCTGCCTCGGGTCTGGCCCAGCGCCAGGCTCTGTCCCTGCCTTGAGGGGTGTTCTTGGGCTCTGCCCCCCACCCTGGAGCTTCACACAGGGCCCATTGAGGCCAGGACATTCCTCCAGGCCTGTGTCACTGGGGGGAGGGGGCTGGCCCCGCCCCCACAGATCCGGAAGGCCTGGCTGCCCCAGGAGGAGGCGCTGGCCGCTTCCCAGCACATCTGGAGGTCATGACCCCATTTCTCCTGCCAGGGGGCGCGACAGATGTTTCCTCCCAGTTCAGGCTAGGGACTGGGGGCGGCGTGCAAAGGCCGGGGAGGGGGCCGCCTAAGGAGAAGAGGCGCCCC